GTGTACTGAAGTCAAGTCTCCGAAGAAACCAATTAATAAGGACTCTACTTGATGTACATGTGCAAATGAAAAACAAAGAATAAAGTCACAGGGGAAGAGGAGAGTAAGCCTGAAGTGTGGACAGGAAAGACAAATTGTGAGGAGGGTGAGAAATATGGAAGAATTCTTTCCTCAGCCACCTGGGATGAGCCTTCTCACCACAGCTAGAGATACTGGAACCCTCTGTAGAATCTTCTGGTTCCTTGTGAACATTTATGTTTTCTTACTATAGAAAATTGCGTTATTCTCATTCTAGCAGTCTGACTCAGGTACCTCAGGAAGGCCCACTGGATGAGCCTCTTTGGTAGTGTTTCCAATAGAGACTTAAGCCGGGTGACCCTGATCTGACTATTAAGATTCTAGTGCTCAGCATGGGCAAAACTAGCTAAACAACATTTTTTGCATAGAGCTGCATTCCCAACACTGATCTCTCTCTCTCTCTCTCGTGGCCTATTACTGTTATATTTCTGTGGTAACAAATCGCCAGAAACTTAACATCTTAAAACCACACAGATTTATTATTTTACAGTTCTGTACGTCAGAAGTCTGACACAGGTCTCACTGGGCTAAAATCAAGGTGTTGGCAGGACTGCATTCCTTCTAGAGGCTCTAGAGAAGAATCTATTTCCTTGTTATTCCCAGCTTCTAGTGGCCACCTCCCTTCTGTGTTCATGGCCCCCTTCTTCCATCTTCAAAGACTACAATGGCTGGTTGAGATCCTCTCTTGCTTCAAATTTCTTCTGCCTCTTCCCTTCTCCCATCTCTCGCTGCACCAAGGAAGGTTCTCAGTTTTTAAGGAGTCATGTGATTAGATTGGGCCCACCCTGATAATCCAGGATAACCTCCCAATCTCAAAGTCTCACAACATTAATCACATCTCTAAAATCCCTTTTTCCATGGAAGGTAATGGTAAAGTATTTTCCATGGAAGGTTCCAGGAATTAAAGTGTGTACGTCTTTAAGGGACCCTTCTTCTGCCCACCACATGGGGCTCACACTGCAGGGAATATTGGCACTATGAACCCAACACTATGCCCTAAAATTTCTCCCTCAAATGCAGTAGATTACTTCAAGAGTATGACCTTGTGTAGGACCAGAAGAAGAAAAGAGACAGGCTGAGCCCAGGGCATGTTTGCCAAGCAGTTGCTGGCATCACTCACTGCCTAAGCAACTAGTACCTACACCCCAGCTTCAAAAAGGTACGCAGCCAAATTCCTGCCTCAGAAAAGTGATAAACTACCTCATGATCTTAAAGTCCGGTCTTTGGATCAGCAGCATCACATTTCCCGAAAGCTTATTAGAAATACAGACTCCAGGCTCCACCTCACACCCTATCGAACCAGAATCTGCATTTTTAACAAGATCCCCAGGTAATTCATACCCACATTAAGGTTGGAGGAACACTGATCGAGAGGTAGTGATGGTGGGTCTCAACCTCGGCTGCCCATTAGAATCACTGTGGAGGTGGGTGGTTGGGTTTTCTTTAAGTTTTATTTGGAAACAGTTTCAAGCTTACAAAAGAGCTGCAAAATGAGTACAGAAGCTCCCATATACCCTCACTCAGCCTCCCATGTGTGCATAGCCATCGTGCAATTGGGAAAATTAAGATATTAACATTGGCACAATATCATTAAGTTTCAGTCTTTATTTAAATTTCACCAGTTCTTTTTGTTTGTTTGCTTGTTTTTGAGGAAGATTAGCCCTGAGCTAACTACTGCCAATCCTCCTCTTTTTGCTGAGGAAGACTGAGCTAACATCCATGCCCATCTTCCTCCACTTTACATGTGGGATGCCTACCACAGCATGGCTTGCCAAGCGGTGCCATGTCCATACCCTGGATCCGAACCAGCAAACCCTGGGCCGCTGAGAAACATGCGCTCTTAACCGCTGTGCCACCGGATGGGCCCCTGAATTTCACCAGTTTTTACCCTTCTGTACTTTTTTGTCCCCCATTGGATCTGCTGTCAACTCCCCTCATTTGGGTCCTCTTCTGCCACCTTTACCTCCAAGAGCCCTCATGGTAAATGCATCAAAAAAGGTAGCACCATCTCCTTTATTTCCTCTGCTTTGTCCCTCCTCCCTTTTTCTAGCATGCTTCGACGTCTCTGCAGCTTCTTCTGCGGAGAAGTAGAAAAAGCACAGGCTCTGGAGCCAGCCAAACTCGAGTCCAGCCCCAATTCTCCCACTCACTAGATGTGTGTACTTGGGCAAGTAACTGAGCCTCCCTGAGTCTCTGTTTCCTAGGGTGCAAAGTGGGGATAATCCACCCTGGCAGGATTGACATGAGAAACGAAGAGAGCATTTTCGCTAATCTAGAGCACAGCGTGTGCTCAGAAACGGCAGCTGTGACTGTCGTTGTTATTATTATCGGCAGTGGGGATCAGATTCCTGAATCACACACTATTCTTTGGAGGGGGCAGGGCAAGGCAAATGAATTCTATAAAATGAATTCAATAAAAGAGAGCAAGACCTCTACCCATCTGCCCAGGGTCTAGAGTAACTGGTAGAAGTTCACTTAGAATTTTCAGAATTCATTGCAGGCACCTACATAATTCAGAGGAAATGGCCAAAATTGCATAAAGCCAACCTCAGCTAAAGCAATTATCTGCTGACACCATCTGTTTGCATAACCAACAGATAATAATAACTAACATGGGGGAGGAACACAGTGACATCTTTAGAGTGGTTTTGTTTGACTCATCTCATTTAACCCCTCTAACCTCAAGGTGGCTATTTGACCATTTTACAGATAAGGAAACCGAAGTTCTGTGATAATGTTACTGGACTAGCAAGTGATAGAGTCAAAATTCACATGCAAGTCTTCCGGGCTCTGACATCCTTGTGGTTTCCACCACGGGATTTCTTTTCTTCTGTGCAAGTTTATAGGTGTCAGAAGAGCACACTCACCTCCAGGTCTGTTTGAAACAGGAGTTTTCAGGAAAAGACTTAAGAGACTGAACTGCCTCGTTGAAGAAAATGTCAAATTAAAAAATGGGCTAAGGGGGTCAAAAGGTACAAACTAATATACACTAAATAAGTCGTGGGGATGTAAGGTACAGCAGGTGGCTGTAGTTAATAATACTGTATGGCATATTTGGAAGTTGCTAAGAGAGTAGATCTTGAAAGTCCTCATCACAAGAAAAAAAATTTTGTAACTATGTATGGTAATAGATGTTAACTGAGCTTATTATGGTGACCATTTTGCAATATATACAAATACTGAATCATTATGTTGTACACCTGAAACTAACATAAGGTATATGTTGATTATACCTCAATAAAAAAAAAAAAAAACAGGAAAAACAAATGCTGGTCTTTCTGCTTCTCATTTAGCCTCCTCGTCTTCTCCCTTTGGCTTAGTGGAAGAGTGATTCCCTGGCAACTTGTTTGTCAGACCAACTAATCAATCAGTCAACTAACTAAGCAATCAACTAACATGCTTAGCCTATGCTGAGGGCTGTGGGGAAACTAGGAAAGATGCCGAGGCACCCCTGCCGCAGGCCGGTGCAGGGAATAGAAGTAACCCACGAAAGCAGAGTACATGGGGTCATGGGTCAAAGGAGAGAGAAGTCTGGGAAGGGTTTGTAGGGGGAGGGACCCATCTGGAATGATGATGGGAGGATGGGCTTTGGATGGAGAAAGGAACCGGAGATGGTGCTTCTGGTGGGAAATCACAACAGTAAAAGCAGGAGGAGGAAATGAGGGTGTCATATGCCAACTGTGAAGACAGAAGCCACCCATGGTCCATATTTGTTTTCAAGGAGTAGTAAGAAATAGGATGGGGGCCTGAGTACACTGGGTCATGAAACAAACAGCAGATCTGAACATCAAGTGCTGACCAGTCGGGAGCTGTGAAGGTTTTTTTTGAGGAAGATTAGCCCTGAGCCAACCGCTGCCAATCCTCCTCTTTTTGCTGAGGAAGGCCAGCCCTGAGCTAACATCCGTGCCCATCTTCCTCTACTTTATATGTGGGACGCCTACCACAGCATGGCTGGCCAAGCGGTGCCATGTCCGCACCGGCGAACCCCAGTCTGCCGAAGCGGAACGTGCGAACTTAACCACTGCACCACCGGGCTGGCCCCATGTGAAGGGTTTTGAGCTAGGCAGGGACACCATAAATTTGACGTTTAGGCCAGTTCTAAACATTGCAAATCGCTTAGCATTGATTCGTTGCCTGATTTAAACCAATTAGAATAATGAGTTCTCATTGTTAAAAAAAAGACAGAAGTACTCAAGTCTCCCACCAACATTGCAAAATGTCTAGTACCTTGGAGTATTAAAATTAGAAATTTCTCTTAAATGTTATTTGACATAAAGAAACATCAAAGGCTAAGGAGCTGTGATTTTGGAATAATAAAGCATGTAGGTACAAGCAGCCAGGAGTAGAGCAGAGAAAATTATGTAATCTTATTGGCAGGGAAAATGCCCCAAACCAAATATTTTTTTAAATGCTATGGAGTACCTGACTGCTACCTTTTCTGCAGTGACCAGGAGAGAAATCCAATTTTTATAAGCCTTGTACCCAACATTAAGTTTTCAAATTGTCTTTTTATTCATGTGTGCTTTGTTAGAATCTTTATTTTACTTTAACCTGTCCTTACGGTTAACATCTCTGAGGCACACAGAAAGACTGAGATAACCGTATTGCACCTTTTAAAACTAGATAATGAAATAAATAACAAAAGGCATGGAGCTCTGCTAACCTTTAGACTCATGGTTTTGAGGACTTATCTTTCTAGAATTTTCTGTGGACATTAGCAGAGAGATTTCCAAACAGAATGTGGGCCTTTTTCTTTTCTTTGGGGTGTGGGGATGGAGGTTTAGGAGATGAGAAACCTTTTTTAAAACAGAAATAAGATGTTCTAAGCAAAATTGCAACCCCAAACCTTGGGAAAGTATTTTTCACCTTCTTAACCTATATTCAAGTCCCAGACTATTGGCTGTATTCTAATTCATACTTACCTATGAGCAAACATGGAATCAAGGCGTAGAAAAACCACATGATACAACTTGTCAAGACGTCTAGAACCATGGCAGGGTCTGTGTTTGGCAGACTCAGCTTGACCTGGAACATTGTTTCCTTCCAGAATGAAGCATTCTGTCCATCTCTGCCATCCTTGCTTCAGAACACAGATGTTACAAATGAGGTTTGAGCTGCTGTGAAGCCTGAATTGTTCCGGAAAGAGGAGCTGGCCCAGACAGCTCAGAAGGGGCGGGCCGTGCAGCACCCTCCTTGCCGCCCAAACGCAGGTATTGCATCAGGGGGAGTGGCCTAGGAGAGTTCCCAAGGTAAGGTAACTCTGGGGAGCTTGAGAATCGGCATGGGAGAGAACCCTGGACCGTAGGCTCTGCCCTGGGGGATCTTGGCTGTCCCTACAGGCCCCACTGGCAGTGAGCCGGCAAGATTATCTCACTCTCTCATCAAACAGCTGTCCTCTTCCAAGCCTCCATCTCCTGAGTTCCTTCAAGCTGGGTACTCATTAGCTCTTTTTGCTATACACCCACTTCAGAAAAAGCACAGAAGTTAAAAAAAAATGTAGTACCTTTAAAAAAAGTAGAGGTCAAGAAGAATATTTGCGTGCACTTGCAAAAAGAAAACCTGGAAGGAGATATAGAAACTAACAAGATTGGTTACCCTGAGCAGAGAGAGCGGGATTGGGAAGACGGAGGAGAAAAATGAGAAAGAGACTCTTTGTGGTCTTTTTGTTAGTTTGGTTTTGGGTTTAAAAAAAATTTTTATTGAGGCAAAATTCACATAACATAAAATTTACCATCTTAACCATTTTTAAGTATACAGTTCTATGAAGTTAAATACATTCAAATCCTTGTGAAACCATCACCACCATCATCCCCATAATTCTTTTCATCTTGTTAAACTGAAACTCTATACCATTAATCAATGACTCCAATTCTCCCCTCCCCCAAACCAGTAGCAACCACTATTACTTTCTGTCTTTATGATTTTGACTATCCTGAGTACTTCATGTAGGTGGAATCACGCAGTATTTGTCTTTCTGTGACTGGCTTATTTCACTTAGCATAATGTCCTCAAGGTTCACCCATGTTGTAGCACATTGCAGAATTTCCTTCCTTCTTAAGGCTGAACAATATTCCATTCTACGTGTATACCACATCTTGCTTATCCATTCACCCATCCATAGACACTTGATTGCTTCTACGTTTAAGCTGTTGTGAATAATGCTCCTAATGAACCTGATATACAAATCTCTCTTCAAGACCCTGCTTTCAATTCTTTTGGGTGCTGTATATCTTTTTATACTGTTTGATGACTGAACTATGTGAATGCATTATTGACAAATTAAAAACAATTTTAAAAATTGGAAGGAAAACCTTATGAAAGGGTTGCCCCCTTGAAATGTCAGCTTTTTAAGGACCCTAAACACTCAACATGTGCAAATGAATTGGTGAAAAGAACATGGATTTTAGAGTGTAACAGATTTTGGTTCCAGTTTCAGAACTTATTTGCAATATAATCTTGGAAAGTTAGTCACTTAATAATTCATTCAACAAACATTTGCTAAGGACCTATTATGTGCTAGATCCTGGGAATTCAATCGTTCCTGCCCTCAACCAAGAACTTCCCAAAAGAGGAGCAAATGGACATGGGAATAATCATAAATGAACATTGAAAATAAAGTGACAGAAATATTCACAAGGGAATATAGGAGCATTACGGAAAAACATCTAACCCAGTCTGGGGGATCAGAGAAGGCTTCCTGGAGGAGGTGAATTTTGGGTTGAGTATTAAACACTGAAAAAATATCAGCCAGTTACAACACACAACAATAGTGTGTTTAGGAAATCACAGGAAGTTTGGTACAATGGAGAGCCAGGTTGGAGTGGCAAGAAATGGGGCTCAAAGGCAGACAGAAACAGGATTCCAGAAATCTTTGAGTGCCTCATTGAAGAGCTTAGAGTTTATGTTGAGAGCAAAGAAGGTCACAAAGGAAGGGTCAAAATCTCAAATCTGATCATGTCATTCCCTGCATTTGAGCTTTAAAAAGTTATGACTAAGGTGGAGAAAACGGTGGAAGAGACCAGACAGGAGGCAAGAGTGCCAGGAGGGCTATGTCGGTCAGCTAGGAGAGAGATGTTACTGGCTTCTACCTGTCCGTAGAGAGAACTAACTAAATTCAAAAGATGAAGGAGGTAGAATTGACAGATCCTAGAAATTGAGTGGATTGGGAAGGTGGAGGTGGAGGTAAACATGAATTTCAGGTTATAGAGTTGAGTATCTGAGTGGATGGCAGCACCTCAACCAAAATATTGGAAAAAGGAGGAGGGTCGGGTGGGGTCAGGACAGATAGGGTGAGGGTGGTACAGAAAAAGGTTGCATGTGTTCTGCTTGATGTACTTGAATTTGCAATGCTAATACGGGCGGGGGAGTCTCCGGTATGTAAATGATCTTTGCCCCAAGTATATATGTCAAGAGTATGGCACCATTTCCCCTACCTTCAGCATTTCAGCAGTTGCTGAGCCCAGGAAGTGGGTGAGAACATTCAAGGAGAGTATGTAGATTAAGGAGGCGTGTGGATGTGCTCCTGGAGAAGACTCACATTTAAGAACCAGCACAAGAAAAAGAAATAGGGAGATACAGGGGGGGAAAATAGGTCAGAGAAGTGGTCCTGGAACAAACTACGGCCCTGGAAATGATGAAGGATGGAGTGATCGTTAAGAGGGAGTGCAAAAGAGAGAGTCATTGAAAAACGTCCCCAGGATTTAGCACCTGGAAGGTCACTTGTAATTTCAACAAGAGGAGTTTCAGTGGAGACCTTGGATCAGAAGCTGGATAGTTGGAGGTTGTGGAGCAGATCAGGAAAATAGTGCTCCTTTGATGTGACGGGACAGAGCAACTCCACGAGCCTTATTTTTTCATTTATAAAATAGATGCAATGATATATTGCATAATAATTGTGGGAATTAAAGAATGAAGACAAAGCACATTAGCACAGTGCCAGGAACACAGTAGGTCTTCACAAATGCCATATTAACCATTTGTTATGTTAACAATATTAACAATAAATACATAAGGGGTTATTTGCTCTGGCTGGCTGGCCCTTTGTGGGCTGTCCATCTTTCCATTTGGCCCCTGCATCAGCAAAAAAAGGCTTCCAGTTGGACACACCTACTAGAGGGTAGTAGCTAAAAGCATGGGCTCTGGAGCCAGACTCTCTTGGGTGGCATCCAGGCTCTGCCACTTATTGGTTCTGTTATTTTAGGCAAGTCATTTAAACCACCTATTTTAGTGTCCTCATGTGTAAATTGGAGACAATTATAATAGTAACTACTTCATAGGGCTGTTCTGAGGACTAAATGAGATGGTACGCTTAGAACAAGATCTGGCAAGGTAAGCATACAGTAAACACTAGCTATGTATCTTTTTGCTACACAATGATTAATAACATTTGGTGCATGCTCTCCTTGATCCCAGCGCTGTGAGTCAATGGCCACATTTGTGCCCTGACCTCTGGTCACTAGCTGCTTGTATAGTCTCTCACTGCTCCCCTGCCATCTCATCCTGGCTCCCCTTGCTTTTATGGTTGGACACACCCCAACTTGGAGTGCTTCAGACATGCTGGCCTCAACGTCTGTCCTCAATCTTACCTTTGTTCTTCTACTCCTGGCTGCCTGATTCCTCTTTACTAAATATACTTCTGCCCGGTTTCCACATGTTGAAAGCTAACAATAAAAGCCAATGTGTACTGGGTATCTACTATGTGCCAGGACTTGTCCTAAAGGCTTTCCATTATTATATACATTTCCACATATTATACAACAGACTTGCAAGGTAAGATTTGATGCCCAACTTTTCAGATGAAGACACAAGGCTCAGAGAAATTTACTATAGATTACAGAGCTAGTCAGGGATGGAGACAGAAATTCCAATTGAGGTCTGCCTAACTTCAAGTTCTTTTCACTCATCTTATTGCCTCCCAATTAACACCAAAGGAGGGCTCACAGTGTGTCTGAGCGGCATAGAAGAGTGATCCAGGAGATTAGCAAAAGCTTTAGAGAACAGACAGACCCCAATATGGAGTGCCAAGGACGTACCCATTTAGATTTGGGTAGGAGAGATGCATTCACAGTTGAGCATCCCAACTGGGAGAATGGCACGAGCAAGGCCCAAGGATAGACAGGTTGAGAGGAATACAGACTAAGTATGAAGAAGAAAAGGTAAGTAACCAGAAAATGAGAGACAGAAAGAACAAGACTCATTTAGCTATACTGTTGGAAAGGAGAGTTGTTCACCAAACCCTGAGGGCTTAGGATGGTTAGTTCTATCTGGGCATGGATCCTTGTGAAGATGCCCCTGCCTGGCACTGCCATGCTGACAAGGCAGTACTGCCTGCCAATCTTCACAAGCCACTACAAGGAGAGTCTCTGTCCTGGGCTCAGCACACCTCAAGGGCCCTGAGGGATAATGCTACCTGCCTATCACAGCTTTTGAATGACAGTCCCTTTCAGGACTGGCTCATGACTCAACAGGAACTCAGACCATCCACCTCTGCAGGGCCCATGCCATCGGGTGAAGACTTCTGGAGGGCTGTGCTTCACCTGCTAGCTCTTACCCTTGCCTGGACATCCCCAACTCTGATCTTGCCTTTCTCTTTGGGCTTCGAAGTACTTCTCTTTCTATAACTTCTCATCAGCTGGCTGTGACTTTTTGTCTATGCAACATGCCAAAACCAAACTATCCTCTAACCTGGTGCCTGTACTTCTCAGGTTAATTTCCACTGCCTTCCCAAGTTGAAGGATCACCTATGTCTGAAGAGGAGCTGCTGGAAGACAGACCTATTTCCTATCATGATCAAGAAATAGGAATTTGTTCCCATTACACTATTTGCCACTTAAATATTTGATAATTATGGAAAGAAAAGGAAGAAGACACAGAGTTTTTATGGAAAAATAGAGGCAGTGCAGAAGGACAAGGAGGTTGATGGCTAAGGAAGAGATTCCCAAGCCCTCTGAGCCCTGTAGGGCCGGGACCAGAATGAAGCAAGGGAGGCACGCCCTCTTAGGTTGTGCAAGTAAAGGATAGGTTCTGGTGCCCTGGCACCGACTACATGGTCAAATTACTACATTCCAATACCCCTTCCTTGCCCTACTTAGCACAGAATAGTTCCCTTCCCTCTACCAAGATTCCTAAATATCTACGTCCTGTGTTTTAGTACATCTGACACTTAGTTTTAACTTTTTTTTTTTTTGAAGTAATATAGGGTATTTAAACAGTGGAATTCCTATTGTCTCAGACTTTTCTAACTCCTGCTTCCACTGAGTCTGCTCCAAACGTAATTCCCACACACTTTCAAGCTCTAGATTCCAGGGTTCTTGCAGCCCTTTTTCACCTCCTCTGAACATACTGTAGTTCTTCCATTTTCTCCCTAGTTAATTGTCTGGCCACCAGTGCAGGGCATCAGGAATTTATCCTCCCTTAAACTCAATTCTTTCCTTAGAGTGTGATCATTAAAACCCTTAAGGCTGTCAAACAGTCCCTTCTGTAGTTATAAACTGATTTTTTTCTATGTGACCTTCCCCAACAACTCCTCTTAATATGGAGAACCCAGCTTCATGCAGAATAGCCCTTTGTAGTTAAAAGTTACACATTTAAGTAAAACAAATACCATATTATTCATTTTTAAAATTTGAAAACCAGAAACAATGCTCTGTAATAGTGAAGACCTTAACATAATTTTCAAATGATTTTGGTTACTGTATTTTCAACCACTAGTTTAATCCTAATCATCAGTGATTCTGTTAAGTGGAGCACACAATATGCTCCAAGGTCAAGCTTATCAGAGGCCTCTTTTGATCCTTCTACATAAAGTAATACCCCTACTCGCACTCTTCAATCGCCTCAACCTGCTCTATTTTCTGTTCGGAGCACTTCTCCATTAAGCATTACATCACTAGAAATGTAAGTTTGATGACAGCTTTTGGACAACTTTGCCCATTTTGTTCACTATCATATAGCTGGGTTAGAATAGCTTGGCACCTGAGCAATCAAATATCTGAGGTGAGTTGGTTGGATGGTTGGATGATGGATAAATATCTCTAAAAGCTATTTAAACACAGACACTACCATCAGCATATAGATAACAGTTCGAAAATTTTTTTTTTCATCTTGACAGCAAGTGATTAGCATATGTCCTGATGAAGTCAGTATTTGTTTTCTATAACATCTCCCTTATCTATAGTCTAGAAAACATATCAAAACAACTAAAAGTTTGTCATTACTTGTTCCTGGAAAAGACATGCTTATTCAGGGATTACTAATTTCTTCCCCAAGGGTGCAAAAAATACCAATTTAATAACCACTCCTGTGCGTGGCCTAAAATAGACAAGACTTGTCACATTCTGGGTCCCGTTTCCATAATTTCCCAAAGGCTATCTGCAAATTTTCTACATAGTCTAAGATATAAATTATCTGAGCCCAGAGATTTATTTAAAGCAAGTATCTTAACTATTTTAGATGTCTATTTTTAATTGTCTATTTATAATGTTTTCCTGTTTGAAAGTCATTATCATTCCATAAGGTACAAAAAAAATGTAAATAGGAAACTGAGTACTCTTTTTCTTTGTGTTCTGTAGCTGTAACTACAAATAAAATTTGCAACATTATTCCAAAAGGCTGAGACCAGCTTTCCTGTGAGCTTTAAAAACAGTTTAAAAAGTAATTTGAGTGGAAATATTTAAAAATTAGTCAGTCCAGTAGGTAAAGTTTTTGCTAAGCCATTGTAGGCATCAGGTCAATTCTGAAATATTTGAGATAATGAACATGTTCTGGCCTGCAAACATAGTCTCAAAAAGACACTTTGGTTTAAAACATTTACCTCTGTGAACATGGCCGACAATAACTGCTCTTCAATAATAATTTTCCTGCCCTTCAAAACATCACCATGCTCAATTTAGGTTCTACTCATTAAACAAACAAGTCTCAGCAAACTGTTTCAGATGAAATGAACACCCAGTTAGTAAACTAGAAAGATATATTTCAGCTCCTGGGTCACTTTATTTAAGTCACCTAACAGCAAGAAATCAGGGTGTGGAAGTGGAGTACGCATAGCATGCTGATCAGTGTTTAGAAGATGAGAGTTGAGTCATATAAACTTGCTAAACCAATAGAACCAGCTTATCAGAAGAGCCTCCTACTTTGCCTTGCAACAGAATCAAATAGTTTTCCCCAGAAGCAGTAATGTGCCATTTTTTTAAAAAGTCCACTGGATGCTATTCAGAATATAAAAAGAGGGTGTCATCTATCCTGTATCAAATGTCCTTTAAAGGAAGAAGTGACTACAGCTGTGAAACCATTTGGAAATAGTTAAAAGATCCATATAAATATAAGACTACAAAGGACCCCCTTATCTTCTAGGAAAATATTAAAGTAGAGAAGTTAATTTGTATGCTGTAATGCTACATTCCTAATTTATTGATTTGGACATTGCATCTGAAGTGTTTCTGAAAAACGAAAGTTTTCAGATTCTGTATCGACAACTCTCCATGTTACAGGAAAAACAGGGAGTAACAGTAACTGCATTTGGAGATGTGAACTAGGGAGATAAGAGCTGTGAAGGAGACTTTTTTACATTGAAATTTTTTTTTTTACCATGTGCATTGGTAAAAGTAAGGGGACAAAAATAATGTGATGGTTGCCTTGCAGGAATTCAACTCGAGTGTTGTCCACTTCTCATTTTTGAGGGGAAACTAGAACTCTGAATTTTATGTGAAATCCTCCAATTTCTAAATGTTAACAATTACTTTTTTAAGCACTGTATGAGTTGAACTGTATTCCTATTTGGTGGTATCCTGAAAAGGGCACCTGGCCAAGACAGGGGGTTGGGGGAGTGGTGGTGGTGACATTCGGACTTCTCAACAAGAAAAGGGGCTGGGCTTCCTGGGGGGAAGAGGTGCCTTTTCCTAATTCTGACAGTTACTTACACAGTAATGGCCCTGCTTCTTTGCAATCTCTGGACTAGATGATAGAATTAGAACATTAAAGCTGGAGATAATTCATGTGCCATGTATCTCTGAGGATGACCTTATTTTAACAACCCAAGATGTTCACCCACTAGGCCTTTTTACTCTTCCAGCAATGGCAATGGATTGCACTTATCTTTCCTATTTTGTTTAGTGATGTATCGTGACACACTGTCTTTAACAGGGCCAGGTGTCTGTGTTACTGTGTATAGTGAAAGATGTGTAATATATATGTGTGAATATATGTTCAATTGAACACTAAGGATTTATGACCAAGTAACAGACCAGCAATAGGTTTCATTGCTGAGCTTATATAAAGTTCTGAAAAACTCTCTTCCAAGGTTTTGGAGAATCTTTGTAGCAGTGGATTGGGCAGGGTTATGTGTGTTACATGTATTTAAATTGACAGCTAAGCATCTCCTCACATGAGGAAGAAAATTTCTATAATACTGCTCTTTCCAGGACTCTCCTCCTAGTCTAAAAACAAGCACACAGAGGGCAACGTGTCATGATACAAAGTATACCAGGCTGGGAATAAATAAGGAAACCTGGTTTCTCATACAAATCCTGCTACTATATAGCTATGTAGATGTTTTGTAAGGTTGTTCTAGTTCTTAAGAAAATTGCTTCAAGTAAAATTCATGCTTATAAAAATAGCCATTGGTCTAAGGATTGGTTTAAGACTTTTAAAAAGCTGATAAAGTGTTGAAGTACAAACTTAAGTAGTTCCCAGTGAGGTTTTCATTCCCTAGTAAGAAGAGTACACAACAGATATAATTGGCACACATGGGCTATCTGGGGACTCTCTAGTTATTATAAATCTAATTACGGCAAAGAAATATGCCTTCTGCTTCCAGTGCTACTCCATTCCTAGCTACTTTCTCAAAATCCTTAACATTGCTGCTCAGTGGGGTTAGCTCATGTCTGAGATACAAGGCATTAATTGCTCCTTTTTTTAAAACAAACATCCATTTTTTAAAAATAAGGAATACTGGGGAAAAAACACGAGATGAAGAACAAAGAGAAAGTATCATCAAATGTTTGTTTAAAATCAAATGCAAAGATGTTTACTACCTAGTCATTTTACAACCACTTTAAAACTATTTTCTTCAATTTATATTCAAGTGATTTTACAGCAAAAAAGGTAAGCATACATGACTTTTCTTTCCATTAAACTTATCTATTAATAATCATCTTAATAAACAAAGGGGGACTGAGAAAGATAATGAATATGACCTAAACGGCTTTAAAAGCAGGTGTAATGAAGATGAAAAACTGTGCATCAATATCTTAATCCTATTTGCTGACTTCTGTTGCTCAGTGGAAGAAGCCAGGGCTGCCACCCAGTGGCAACATAAGTCTTTAAATGATTTTAAGATTTAAAGAATAAAAAAAATTTATAATAAAACAAATTGTAAAAACACAAAAAACAAAAACCTCATGAATTAGATGACTTCAATTATAAATCAGTAATTCTGGCATACTAAATGTCTGTTTATAACATACTAAGGAAGGGGAACATTCATTTGCTCAAGCAGCATTGGAGAAATTTTTGAAAATATATGACTTTCTACCATTTACTAAGTTACGTGGTTTTAATTAGTATTTTCAATTAAAATATTGAAGGTTACTTTGCTTAAATTTAAACCTCCAGAATTAATAATGGAGGGGAAAGCTGTGACTATAAAACACACTTGTTTTTCTTCTGTGACCTATAGTAGTCTCTCATCCATACAACCAAACTTCTGTTTGGTAAACAAAAACATAATAGAAGCACCTGCAAAAATAAGATTTTAAAAACGATTGTCTCTAACCATGAGTACATCCCATCTTTTCCTCAGGTATACATGAATTTTAGTGTCCCAGTCAACAAAACTCAAAGCTGAAAGGGGGAAATGAAAATCATAGAAATACTATGCCCGATAATTATTCACATTTTGGGATAGCGAGAAACCAAGTATCTCATTGCCTCCTCTTTCCCCAAAACTTGGCCATAGCTTTTTTCACATTGGCACAGATGTAACGTATCCTAATACAAGATGCTTTGGTAAAATAACACTAGGGAAAAAAATAACACTAGAGCATCCATTTAGTTTGAAAAGCTACATATCTCAGAGACTGCTCTGTTCTCTTGAATAACTAGGTGAGAGAAGCACCAAAAGAAATTCTTAGAAATTTAGAGATTTTTGTTTCCAACAGTTGTAAATTAAAATTGTACAAGGTATGTTTTCTAACCTATTCCCATTTGTTTTGCTTTACATCGAAGACAATGAATGCATTTTTTAAATAATGGCAGACACAACATACTCGATATTTACAATGGCTTGTGACAAATACAATACCTGAAAATAATTTCCAATTTTCCATTTATTATTGCTATTTAGTCACAGAAAAGATTAACACTCTCCAAGAAATTTATTTTAGCATATGTCATATATTGATATAATTTTATATGAAGAGAAACCATTGCAAAAGTGACTAACATGGTGCCCTTACAAGAAAATAAAGGCAATAAAGAAATTTTTCCATATAAAGACTTTTGATCTGCATCATTTTTTCAAAATATAAAACCATAACATTAGAAGCAAACAGAAAAACAGCAAAGAAAACAATAAAACTGAACACCAAGGATAAGGAATTGCTCTATGCAGATGCTTTGCATATGTAGTATATATGTATGGGCTGAGTTATAATAAAAATACTTATGTATTATAGTCAATCCTCACATAGAGTTAGAAACAGGAATTTCCAATCAAGTATGACTGGACTGGCATTTTCTCAGTCTTCAACTACATGACGAATCACAGCTGTGTAGCAGTCACTTCTGGTCAGCAGTATCATGATAAATGCTTGATAAGATATAATTTTTCCCCTTGTTCACTTGTAAAAATTGGTGCCTTTTTGTAATGTTCTACCAGTTCTTCCATGGTGCTGAATTTACGCTGCCCAATGCAGTAGACAGTCTCTTTTAGTTGGACTTTAAAATGCTTGTTCTTCCCTTGTGCTTTTAGTGATACTGAGAAATCATTTGGCTAAAAGAGAAAAAACATGTAAGGTTAACATTTTGAAAGACATCTATTAGCATTTTTATATTAAACACTAACAGCTAAAATTTGAGCACTTAGTAGTAGGCACTGTGCTAAATTATTTATAGAGATTATCTCCTTTATGCCTCAAAATAAACCCATTTTATGATAAAATCAAGGCTGAGAGAAGCTAAGGTATTGAGGATCATTCCATCTAGCTAACAACAGAGCCAGGATCCAAACCAAAGCAGCCAGACCCCAAAGTCTCTTGACTAATATGCTCTCCCTAACACCCACGGCAAATTCTCTGGTTTAACATCGGAAGCACAAGAGCTACCTTCTCTGCAGTCCGACTACTGGAGACTCATGAGAAAACCCAAGACATCCACCTCTTTTCATTTAGCAGCTAACAGTACTTATAGAGGAGCTGAGATAATACTCTGAATCCTCAAAGATGAAGGACACAAAAATGAGAATTAATGTAAGCACTAATGAAGGGTCGTAAACTCAAATGCCTACAAGAGGCCAAAAAAAAAAAAAAGTAAACAAGTGACAGGGTGGACAGATAGAGGAAACAACAATGCATGGCCAGTCTAAAGGAAGTGGCCACTTAGTTGTGACTGTTGCCTTGTGGGAATATGAGCTCAATGTTGACAGGCCTTCCAATTTTAAAAAGGAAGCCTGACATCTGAATTCTTATAATAAATCTCCCAATATTTAAATACTGACAATGAATTCAAATGTTTAAAAAACGTGCAGGTCAAACAAAATATGCCTGTTTGAGATCTCTACTTTAAAAATTCTACTGCTAAAAATGATGATATATTTTGGCTAAAGTCTATGCTCAATTACACATAAGAAAATACACAGTATTCTGCAATCAAGTTACTTTCCTAGCATTTTTTTTTTTAACTTAAACTCTCTTTTGAATTGTCTATATCAACCCCAGAAGCCTCTTTTTATACAGTTACTGCCAAAATTTCAAACAGCAGGCTTCTTGGGAACATCCCATACTTATGGTTACTTTACCACCCACTCCAAGGTCACTCCCTTCCAAACCCACTGCCCACTGCTTGTCCTGGAAAGCAGGGCCAGGTCAGCATCTAACAGAAAACAACTCCCATCACTCTTCACTATCATCAACCACCTGCTCTTCCTGAGGGGTTTTGTACAGGCCCCATTTCCTGAACTTCACATTGGACAGTCCAATTAGTCTTAGTCTCTCCTCTTCTTTCCTCTCTCCCTCTCTTATATATACACACATACCACTCACACTGACAGGTGTTCTTCCTTTTCAACCTTTTGTACAATCACACATTCATTTTTGTACAACTACATACACACAAAGCCAATCACTAACCAAGATTTGAAAAGTAGTGGTATCCTTTATCAAGGAAAAATAAAGGCCATTTTTAAGAGAAAGGAGTATCATCAAATTCTAATATCCTAGATGGTACTCCAAAAGTGCTCACATAATTTTCTCATTCAATTTTTATGATTTTATAGTTTTATTGTTTTACTAGTATTAGAATAGAATTTATCTTTTCTTGCAAATGCATTTCAAATATAGTGAGTGTTAAAATAGATTTTTGAGGTACATAATGAAAGTATATTTCCAACTTCCAAACAACTAATTTATGAAGTAACTTAAATATCAATTTTTTAAATTTGGGATTTCCTTTATTATAAGGATGATGGTGCATCCAATATGCAATGTAAGAAATGTTTTCCCAGTTTAGGCTACTGCATTGCTCTACTCTCAATGAAGAAGCCCGTGCTCAATTTTCACAATTTTTCAGTTTAATGCAACAGAAAATTATTTCAGGAAGGCAAAACCAACCAAACCAGACAAGGCCAAATAATCCAGTGTAGTATCACTGCTAGGGCTATGTTTTAGTGAAAATAAATATAGTTGGAAAGAACATCGACTTTAGCTTCAGAACATTTATACCCATGTCCCAGTTTACCACCTGGTTAATTTTAGGGAAGCCACTTAACCTCTCCAATCTTCTATTTACTGTTTTTAATAACGAGAGAGCTCTACTTCCATTTACCTTTGAAAATCAACTTACCGAAGATTCACTATCACGAATGAGGAAATCACCTTCATGCCCTCTTTCGTTTAATGCCATTTCTGCTTGATGCCTGGTGACTTTCCCATAATACCATGGATTGCCAGCAAACTTTCCAGTGAGTGAAGGCCTAATGTAATCACACTGTGGAGGTGATGGTTCCAAACCTGAGGTTAATGGATTATTCTGCATAATGGTAACGTAGTTTTTAGGCACCAGACCAACCGTTCCATTGATCTTCCTGCATTTCCACCACTCAGGGTCATTTTCAGGTTTTTCAATAACATCCATTACATCTCCTTTCTCAAAATTAAGTTCTTCATCATTGGATGAGCTGAATGGGTAAAGAGCCTGTACCACATGCAACACTTGCCCAGTGTTTAGGTTACTGACGACTGCTGCTAATTTCTCTGACAGAGAACCTACATGGTCACCCAAAGGGCTGTCACCTTCCTCAGTTACGTAGTTTGAAGGGAACCATCCAACTTGTCCATTGTAGCTACCCCGCCACCACCCATCACTGCATTTCTCCATGACGATCACCTTCGTTCCTTTTATCAACGACAATTCATCCTCTCGCTCTGCCATATAGTTAAATTTCACATAAGCAGGCATGTTGAGGTCATAGAGACGTTCCCCTGGGTCAACAAAGCTATCATCAGCAGGAGATGCAGAATCTGGCACACTAGGCTTTCTTTTCACTTTTCCAATGCCTGTTTAAATAAAAAGGGGTAATGAAAAGAGCATATAGTCCAATGATAACCAAAAAAAACAATTTCTTCATTACTAAAAAAGGATCTTCAGCGGCTGGCCCCGTGGCCGAGTGGTTAAGTTCATGCGCTCTGCTGCAGGCGGCCCAGTGTTTCGTTGGTTCGAATCCTGGGCGCGGACATGGCACTGCTCATCAGACCACGCTGAGGCAGCGTCCCACATGCCACAACTAGAAGGACCCACAACAAAGAATATACAACTATGTACTGGGAGCTTTGGGGAGAAAAAGGAAAAAAAAAAATCTGTAAAAAAAAAAAAGGATCTTCAACTCTGTAGTTCTTTTAAGCCTTCAAACTTAGATAAATTTTTCTTTCTATATCCCCATGACCTATTATTTTATAACTAGAAGTTTGTACTTTTGACCCCCTTCACAAAATCTCTTTTCATAACTAAACACTTAACTGCAGTTATTATATAAAAGTTTACCTTCTCATCTTTTCTAAGGCCCTGAAATAACTGTATAACATAATTAAAAGGTTGTCCTAAATTAATGAATTTTCTCTTAAATGTAAATATAGATTATTTCTCTCATATCTACAAGAAAAGTACATAAAGGCTCCACCACACCCATATTCTTGTCTTACTTTATTAACCTAGAGTCTACAATTAGCTGTATAAAACAAACACTTAAATTACAACTTGAGATGCAAGATAAAACTGTAATTAGGTCTGGGTAATCCTCCCATTTGCTTCCTTAGTTCCCAGACACAGGTTGCTCTATTTACCTCATGTTTATTTTAAAACAATATATTATCTACTTGTCTCCCCTCATCCCATTCACATGTCAGGTCCACAACAAGGGCAGGGATTCTTATTTCCTCTGTTCATGGATATAAGCCCAAGGCTCTCATATGGTACTCAGTACATACTAGATGCCTAAAATATATTTGTTGAAAGAAATGAGAAAATGACTAAATGGCAATATTATTATACATGTATGCTACATCAACTGCAATCAGGCATTTTCACTGCTTCTTATTTCTTAGCACATGATTTTTTGCTCTATTTGTGCCAAGAAAACTGACGTATTCCTAGGTAACATTTCTCAAATACCTTCTACCTCAAAACTCTTTCTCATTACCCTCATTCTTTTTCTTCACCCAGTTTTCCAACCTTTGATCCTCCTGTTTTCTTAACACTATTTTTCTCCCTCTTTTGGGACTCTTGGCCATCCTTGTTTTCCTCCTACCTATTGTCTAAAAACACACTCAGATCGCTTCTATTCCAAAATAAAATTACTTGATTCTGCTACCTCTTTTAAACTACACTATTCTTTAAAAAGTGGTCTTCTTTTTTTCCTTCAACTTTTTCACCACTCACTTCTAACTCCTTATAAGGTGGTCCTGTCTCTCCACCATTCTACCAAAAGTACTCAAGCAAAACTTGTGAAAACTGTGTCATCTCTTTACTGCCAAATCAGTACCTTTTGGAGCCCTTAGTCTTTTCAAACTCTCTCTGCACCAACCAAGATCATAGATTACTGGCTCCATCATTTTCTCCTTCTTTAACGTCCCTAAGAGTCTCCTGTTTTCCCTACTGACCTGTTTAAATATTCTTGTGTGCCTCTGCCTGGGCTCCTCTAAACCTTGTTATAAAATTGCACTATATTTGTTCACTTCTCCATCATCCTTAATGAAAGAGTGAGCTTCCTGAGGGCAGAAAACTGGATCTTACTGCCTTGTATCTCCAGCACTTAGCAAGTATCCACACTAGTAGTGGGAACAAAGGAATGTTTCCTGAACGGATAAGTGAATGATTCCTTAGTTGAAAGTGTTTCCCAAGATGCCATGCTTGGACTTCCCCTCTACTTCAAGGAAACCATAGATTTTTATTTTCCATATCTTCTGTGTAGACAAGACAGTTGCAAGGTCTCTTCACAGCTCTCAGCTCTTTCTGGGATTCAAGCACTACAATTCCAATTGTCACCAGACATCTACAGACTGTACTATCAGCACCTCAAATACAATACCCATGTCTAAATAAAAATAACCTCTCCCATATCCGTAAATCAACTCCTTCCCTCCCAATTTCCTTACTTCTGGTTAATGGTATCATCATCCTGAAAAATCCCAACACCAGGATTTCTGGCAGAGTAGGGAACTCTAGGGTTTTATCCCTCCAAAAAAAGTAATTAATAAACTGGAGAATACTGTCAGAATCAACTTTTGCAGAACTCTGGAATCTAGTAAAAAATTTACAAAAACTAGAGCAAGGCTTAGTGAAGAAAGAAGCTGCTACTTTGTAGTAAGAGAGCATTTTAAGTTGCCTGCCTACCATCTCTTACATCCCAAATCAGTGGTGGCTGTGAGGACAGCAACATGCACTCCTAACCCCAGAGGAAGCAATACAGATCTTATTCTTAAAGAATTGTGATTGTGGGTTTAAAGCTGTCTGGCAGCTACCTGAAGGACCAGCACAATGGCTTGCCTTGGTCTCAACCAACTTGGAGCATTCTCAGGGCTAGGGTGTCTCTTGCTAAAAGTATTTGACTGACGCAGAAGCCTGGGGCAAAGGACAATAATTGGGATGAGGAACAGACAGATTAAAAACTCTGGGAAGAAAAAATTGGGGAAAGGATATAAGTGGGGAAATAAGGGCTTTTAAAAGCACCTGTGTATAACAGAGAATCAAGAAGGCCACACCCATAGCCAGGGCTGGACACATGCTCAGGGAAGGTCTTAGAAGACCCTATGCTTTTGCTTCTGGCTGACTTTCAGGCTCTGAAGAAGCAGTAAGTGAAGGCTAAGGCATAGTTGTAAATGGCCTGGCTAAGTGTTGAAAAAGTATTTTTTTCTTTTTCCTCTGGTTCCAGTTATTTAAGGAAACTCTGTCAAAACACCAGCTGACAGCTAAGCAAACAGAACACCGACTTCAGTGGCCACACGTGACAAAGAATATAGACTTTACAAAGATATTTTAGAAAGGTCACTAAACAAGCAAACAACCATCACCCACAATAAGATGCAACAACGAACCCTATGGAGGGGTAGAATCTGATGCTGAAAGACAAACTGTCAATCGAGAATTCTGTAATAGCAAAACTGTCCCTCAAACTGAAGGAGAAATTAAGACACTCCCAAACAAACAAAAACTGAAGGAGTGTGTCACACTAGACCCATGCTACAACAAGTGCTCCAAGGAGTCCTCCAGGCTGAAAGGAAAGGATACTAAACAGTAACTGGAAGTCCTAAGAGGAAATAAACAACAGTGGTAAAGGTAGCCACATTTGTAAATAGAAAACCAGTAGTGTTACATTTTTCGCTTACAAGTCCTCTTTTTTCCCTGTATGATTGAAGATACAAGTGTATAAAACAACAATTTCAAATCTACGTTAATGGGCACACAATGTATAAAGATGGAACTGTAAAGGAATAGAATTTTGTATACTATTGAAACTAAGTTTGTATTAATTAAAACTTGATTGCTAAAAAGTTATATTAGGGGCCGGCCCCACAGCCCAGTGGTTAAGTTCGCGCACTCCGCTTCGGTGGCCCAGGGTTTTGCCAGTTTGGATCCTGGGCACAGACATGGCACCACTTGTCAGGCCATGCTGAGGTGGCATCCCACATGCCACAAGCAGAAGGACCCACAACTAAAAGCATACAACTGTGTACCAGAGGGCTTTGGGGAGAAAAAGGAAAAATAAAATCTTTAAAAAAAAATCAAAAAAAAAAAAATTCTGTTAATTTCTCAAGATTTCCAGCACACGGGTCGGTGCAGGGGGCACCCGGACTTCCTGTAGACATGCTTGGGGACACGGTTGGAGCTCCAGCACATGGCTCTGCGGCACGGGGGTAGGCTCCGGGGTCCCGCACCTCCCCAGCAGGGAAAGCCTCTGCTTGCCATTAGCAGGGAGGCCACGCCCAGAATCCAGGACACAGGGAAGCTCCCAGTGGGCGGATTCCCCGGCACGGCACCAGACCGCAAGCTGCTGCTGGGCTCACGGTCTCCGGCGCATGGGTTGGTGCAGGGGGCGCCCGGACTTCCCGTAGACGTGCTTGGAGACACAGTTGGAGCTCCAGCGCCTGGCTCTGCGGCACGAGGGAGGGATCCGGGGTCCTGCAACTCCCCGGCAGGGAAAGCTTCTGCTCACCATTAGCATGGAGGCCACGCTCAGAATCCAGGACAAAGGGAAGCTCCCGGTGGGTGGATTCCCCGGCACAGCACCAGACCGCAAGCTGCTGCTGGGCTCACAGTCTCCGGCGCAGGGGTCAGTGCAGGGGGTGCCCAGACTTCCCATGGATGAGCTTGGGGACTGGGTGGAGCTCCAACACCCGGCTCTGCGGCCCGGGGGGATGCTCCAGGGTCCCGCACCCCCCCCCCCAGCAGGGAGGGCCTCTGCTCGCCATTGGCAGGGAGGCCCCGTCCAGCATTCGGAACACCAGGAAGCTCCCTAGAGCAGAATTCCCCACAAGGCAGCAGCTTACAAGCCACTGCCAAGCCCACGGACTCTGGCTGTGTCCCAGACGAGGCAAGGGTCTCCCAGAGATCCCGTGAGAGTGGAGTGGGGCAGAATGGAGGTCTGGTGAAATGGCTACGTAGCCCAGGGTGGAACTCCAGGTTTCTACAGCAGCCTCAGCAACAGCCTCTGCACAGCACTAGTGGAGAGGTCCCGAGTGGCAATCGCAAGGCGAGAAGGCCCTGGGGCAAAGGCAGCACAGCTAGGTGAGCTAACGACAGACTGCAGAAGATACCCATAGCTCTGCTGGGACCTATAGTGGACAAGTGTGATCTTGTGGGCTCTGTTAGGGACAAAGCAGCGATTACAGGTGATCTTGCTCCTGGCTGCTGGGAAAGCCCACAACACTGCTGCAGACCACAAGGAGGGAGCACGTCTAAGTGGGCTGCAGCAGTAGGCACCAGCAGCCTGAGGCCCCCTTGCGATTGCCCCCACAACCGACGAGGGACCCCACAGGACCACTGTGACTACGAGGAGGGGTCC